CCAGCCTGGACTGTTCGTGCTCGCGCCCCCTGGCCGCTGCGCACCCGAGGCTGAGTCAGAGGCACAGAATTAGGCTCGGCCTGCCAGGGGGCCGGGCCCTGGGCCCGACTGAGGATGGGGGTAGGGTCTGTTCTGTGTCCTCCTGACAGCCTGGCCTGGCTACTGCATTTTCCAGGAATCTGCTTCTAAGACCTCCATCTGCGTCATCAGAGCTGCCAGCCGGGCGGGAGTGGATTAAAGGGACTGGAAACTTTTCAGAGGGCTTGGCGGGCCCTGGGTCCTAATCTCCGCTCTGTTCTCCCCATGCTCGCAGGGCTGTGCCTCCTCAGCCTTAGTTTCCCTTTCGAGAAATTGAGGAATCTTAATGACACCTCTCAAGCAGGTTTGCCAGGCATCCAGCAGGCGCTTAATAAATGGCCAAGTCATTGTTGGGGTTTCTAAATAAGGCTCTACTAATGGCTGGATCTGGCCCTGGTCCCAGTGTCCCCGGGCGGCCCTCCGAGGGGCCGCACGGGGCGCACTATAAATCGGCCTCTGCAGACGCAGGGGCACTGCAGGGCCCAGGGCTGCAGCGGCGGAGCAGGATGGAGATCCCGGTTCCTGTGCAGCCGTCTTGGCTGCGCCGCGCCTCGGCCCCGTTGCCCGGACTTTCGGCGCCCGGACGCCTCTTTGACCAGCGCTTCGGCGAGGGGCTGCTGGAGGCCGAGCTGGCTGCTCTCTGCCCCACCGCGCTCGCCCCCTACTACCTGCGCGCACCCAGCGTGGCGCTGCCGGTGGCCCAGGTGCCAGGCCTGGGGAGGGGCGGTAACTCGACCATTTCTAAGAGCATAGGTCCAGGTCACCCTGAGGGGAGTGAGAGAATGCCGGTTGACTTTGAGCGTGGTGGACAGTCCGACCACTCAGAGGGGCTTCTGAGTATGGAATCTCAGAGACCGGGTTACTGAAGCGGGTGGGAGGTCCCCGTCGCTCGTTGGGGGGAGGGGGGGTCGGGGGGAAGGGTGTTTGTGTCTCTAGCTCTGAGGGGAGTGGGAGGGCTGGGCCATTGATGGGATGGGAACGGTCACTCTGAGGGGAGTCTTGGTAACTCTGAAGGAGGCTGGTGACCCAGAGAATCTGGGGAAAAAAGGCGCTTTGGGGGGAGTGCGGGTGGGGGTGTGGACAGTGTTGCCGAGGGGACGGAATGTTCTGTTAGTCTTGGTGAAGAGAGTTTGAAGACTGTGTGTGGTGACCCGATGTCCCCTAGAGGGGAGAAAGGGTCCTGTGACTTGGGGCAGGGGGGCCTGGCCACTCTGAAGTGGGGGAAGGGTACCAGTAACTGCTGAGGGCGCCAGAGGTCCCATGATCCGAGTGGGAGGGTAAAAAGGACTCTGGAGACTGAGGGAAGAGGCATCTTGGATTTCGGGTGGTGGTGGGGAATAAGGGCCCTGGGGGCTCCGAGGGGAAGGGAGCTGGGAAATCAGTGCCCCGGGGACACGGTGACTCTGGAGTCGTTGACACTGGGGAAGGGGGCAGGCCTCCTCATCCTGTGAAGGCGGAGGTCCCTGACCTTGCCGGAGACGGGAGCCTCGTCACTCTGGGTGAGAAAGGCATCCCGGTTATTCTAGGTGTAGAGGTCCCTGGTGACTCTGAGTAGGAAAGGGGACTCCTCAGCTCCGGAGGTCAGAGTCAGCCATAGCACCGGAACCGACGGGGGTGGGGCCTTGCTGGGGCCGGGGCACCGCGCCCCGCCCCGCCAGATGACAGTCCCGCCCCGCGCCGGCTGTGCGCAGGTGCCGACGGACCCCGGCCATTTCTCGGTGCTGCTGGACGTGAAGCACTTCACGCCGGAGGAAATTGCTGTCAAAGTGGTCGGCGAACACGTGGAGGTGCATGCGCGCCACGAGGAGCGCCCGGTGAGCCCGCGGACGGGGGCGGGGCCAGAGCGCGCAGACTCGAGCGGCAGGCCAGAGGGGCGGGGCACCTATGGGGGCGGGGCCGCTCAAGCCTCTTTCCTCTCCAGGATGAGCACGGGTTCGTGGCGCGCGAGTTCCACCGCCGCTACCGCTTGCCGCCTGGCGTGGACCCTGCCGCCGTGACGTCTGCACTGTCCCCCGAGGGCGTTCTGTCCATCCAGGCTGCACCAGCGTCGGCCCAGGCCCCACTGTCGCCACCGGCTGCCCCCAAGTAGGGGTTTGGACGCGCCCGAACCCCGGGAGCTGCCTCAGGTTCCCTTTTAAAGCCGATCTGACTCCGCCCAGCCAGATGTCCCAAGCGCGCCAAGACCGTCCTCCCACCCAATTCGGGATCCAGCCCTGACCCCTCCACCCTAACCTCGATGACTAAACCCTTCCACTGACAACCCCGTTTTCACACCCCCAGCCCCAATACCTCCCTAGCTTCCAGACCCTGCAAGCATTACCCTGACCCTCAGCCTACAGTATCTCACCCCCACTGACCCCACCTTCCTGGTGTGTATCTCTACTCAAGACTCCTACTTCCTTCTGGCTCCTCTACGGAGACATCCCTACATCTCATTTCCATCCCTTCCTCATTAGACACCAGATTATGGTGTAGACAGCCCTGGCCAGTCAGGGATAATCTCTTCACCCCCAAATGTTCCAGACTGCAGAGATCTCCCAGTCCAGACCATCTAGGCCTGGTCCCAAGATCCTGGATCCTTCCCCTGCAACCAAATACTCTACTCCCCACCCCCGACCCCCAGCCCATTTTCTGACTTGAAACCCCAGCCACCACTTCAACCCTTTTCTGACCACCACCCTAGGATACCTATCCCAGGCCAACCAGGACTCCCAACTGCAAACTGTACACACACCCTACCCTCCCAACCTCCCCAGACTCCTGCACAGATGTCCCAGGCCCCCTCCCAAACTCTAAACAGAACCCCCCAGTCCCTTTGTCCTGACCCCCAAGTCTCCACCAGATATACTAGGCAACTCACCTTCCACACTGCTCTTATCCCTCAAGACCTAACCTAGCAGCTTTTTCCCTCTTTGAATTCCCTGCCACCCTATACACACACAAACACACACACACACACACACACACACACACACCCCGCCACTCCTATCTAGGCTCATTCCCCCAATAAATGTGCTAGAGCTGTGCCAACTGCTTTATGTCTGGGCCGAGAAGGATGGGCTGGAGCAGAGGCCAGAGTGGAGTCAAGGGATGTTTACTGGGGTGAGGGGACCTGGGAACGTCATTGTCGCTCATACATCTCCCGTAAGATCTTCATGCTTTCTGAATAACGAAGCTGGTTCCGATGAGATGCCTCCTTCCACCTAGGGAAGTACAGGGAGGACTAAGCAGTTGCAAGAGAGGCCATGGGGGGAAGCAGGGTGGGGGATGCTCACCTCTGGCGAATGCATTTCCAGCGCTGCATGTTGCGATAGATGAGTGTGGAGGGTGAAGGCTCAGGCTCGGAGGGCTGGGTGGACAGAGAGGCTGGGCTGGGTGGCAATGCCTGAGCCCCACAACATATGTCCCCTACACCTGGGCTAGCTTTGCATACTCACCTCATCATCATCAGGGGTGCCCTGGGTCTCAGGCTGCAGTGGGGATGGAATGCGTGATCTACAGGCATCTCCGGGTGGCGCAGGGGCTGTGGGTGGAGGCAGCTTGTACACATCACGACTCTTGCTGTTGGTGGCTTCTGAACCCTGGGGACACAAGGGCCCCCCCACCAGGCCCAAGACAGTCAGAGCAGAGGACTGGGAGTACACATTTCATACCTCCTGCCTTTCTCAGCGACAAAAGACATGAGGGTTTCACCAAGGGACCTGTACTTAGAGGAGTCATGTCTGAAGGGCAGACACCATAACCAGCCTAGGGGTCAGTTCTGCCCACTCCAGGGACCCCTGTCTTCTCCTGTCCAGTCCAAGGATCCCCATCTATACCTGTCAGCACAGGGGTCATGTCTGCCTGCCTCAGGGAATCCTGTCTAGGAGATCATGTCAGTGTTACCTAGGGACCCACTTCCATCACTCCCCAGGCCAGGTGGCCATATCTGCTCTGGGGATCCCTATCTACCCTTGACAGTTCAAAGGGTCATATATGTCAGTCCTGTGGATCCCCATCTACCCTCTCAGGCCAGATGGCTTACAGACCCCCGTCCATCTCTGCCCAGCCCATGGGAGTCCTCATCTGTTCCCCAGGCCAGGTGGCCATATCTATTTGCACTAATAATCCCTGTCCCACCCCTCAGGTCTTAGGGACTCCTGACTTTGAAGGTCACGTCTATCTCCCCAGGGGAACCCTGTTCCCTTTCTCTCCCAGCCCAGGGGAGCCATGTCTGTCTTCCCTAGTGACCTCCATTAATACCCCCGCCTGACGGTACACATCTGTGTGCCTCACCTCATCCATGATAAATTTGATGGACACAAGGACCTGTACCTGCCTACCCCAGTAGCTTGGGGAGAGGGTCCCTTGAGCCTGTCCACCTGTTGCTCTCCCTGGCTGCTGGGCTGTAGGATGGCCCACCACTCATCCTACCTCCTCATCCTCAGGCAGTGGGGGCAGTGGTGAGCTGGGGGAACGTTCACGCTCGCGTACTGACGGGCTGTTGCGCATCCAGGCACGGCAGATTGGGTACAGTGGTGTGTTCTCACTGAACTGGGCCAAGTCCACGCTCCGGTCGAATAGCTTGATCACATACGTGTCTGGGATGGTGAGGGAGGGAGGTATGTGAGCATCCTCATGTAGCCCCCTGGCTCCATGCCCACCCTCTAGGGCCACTGCCTACTCACTGGATCTCTGCAGCCCTCCCTCGGCCAGCCCATCATCCATTTCCCTCCTCTTCTTCCTCCGCTGGTGGGGGAAACGGGCAGATGGTCTGTGTGAGGAGGGTGAGTGTCAGGACCAGGGCAGGGACTGGGAACCTCTCGCCAGCTGGCTGGGGACCTTACCACCTTACCTTTTGCCAGTGACTGTGATGGAGCAATCCCTGTGGGAGAGACAGGGCATCAGCAGGCTGACTTGCAAAAAAATGCCTGCTCAAAACGTCCCAAAGGGCACCCTAGGGATATAGGGATCAAGCCTGAGATGTTCAAATGAACCCTGCCTACCTCTTGGGCCTTGTGTCCCACCCACATCCCTGGTGCTCTAGGTTTCAACCATGAGGGGACCTAAGCTGCTTCTGTCACAGGGTCTTTGTATATGTGCAGTGACTAATACTGTGATAGAGGAAGCACAGGGCACAATGGTCAGAGCTTGGCTGAGAAGTTACCCACTACAAACTCTTGGATCCAGATCCAATAAAAAAAAAAAAAAAAAAAAAAAAAACTTACTTATTGTGGGTGTCTGTGGGGGTTTTCCCGGCTTCTTCATCCAGACGCTCCCTGGTAGCAGAAGAGAACTAACTGTTGGCTCAGGATTCCATGGGCTTAGAGTGGGTAGGCACTGAGTGGCCTCCCCATTAAGCACCTTTCTCCCAAGTCACCATCTGGGTTCCCACCTAGATCCACCAGGGATCAAAGGGTCCAACCTGCCTGGGCCCCCAGCCCTGTGACCCCATGCTGGACCAGGTTCCAACCTGTCCATGTGACTCTTCTCTAGCAGACACTGCAGAACAGCATCCAATTGGTTCCGGGCTTTGGCCATCTCCAGCTCTGGGGGAAGAAGGTTTGAAGCGGGAGTCAGTTCCTAGGCCTCAGATAGGTGAGCAGATGACTGGGTGAGGAAAAGGCCTGTATATCCTCTGCTCCAGCTATTCCTGTGGCCAGGTCCAGGCATGCTGAAAGGAGGCAGTGGGCAGAGACTGCTGAAGTGATGAGCAAGAGCTCTGAGTTCCAGGGCTGTATCACATATCACTGTGTGTCTGACATGAGCAAATCACCTCACCTCACTGAACCTGTTTCCTCATCTTGAAAATGGGTCTCCAAATGATACCTCCCTGCTAGGACTGTTGCAAGGTTTAAATAAGCTTATGTTGTGTATTAGTCTCTTATTAGGATGGGAAAATAATAGGTAACATGTACAGAGTGCTTACTATGAGCCAGGCATGGTTCCAAGCACATCACACATTGAGTTCTCACAATAACCCTTGGCAGTACATATGATTTTTATCCCCATTTTACAGATGCAACTGAGGCACAGAGATGTTAAGCCACTTGTGCAAAGTCACACAGTGAAGAAATCCCAGAGCTGGGGATTTGAACCCAGGCCATCTGGCTTCAAAGCTGAAGTTTCAAGGTAGAGGCTCAGACTGGGTACAGAATCTGGCCCCCAGACATGCTTTGTTTAGCTGAGGCAGTGATGTTATTTTAAATCTGAATTAAATCTGAATGAACTGACAATATTTAAAAATGGGGAGATTTCACCTAAAACATCCTTTTTTGGCTTTTTTTTTTCCTTCCAGGAAATGAGATCTAGACCCACCTTCCTGCATGTCACAGGTCCTGACTGGCCATGTCAACCTGTGTGTTTGCCTTCCTTCATCACAAAACATAAGGAAGTGATGATGTTATAAATATTCTCCTCTCCCCCTTGTGGAGTGTTTGCTCTCCCTTTCCAACTAGTAGGAACTCTGGACCCCAGTGCTGTGAGCCCGGAAAGACACTTACTAGCCTTGGTACTTCCTGAGGAGATCAGGAAGAGGGCAGGGAGTAGGAGCAGCTGGGATTGTAGTAAAGAGCCTTGAGCAGGAGCCAAGGGTATGGATCATGCCCACTTCTCTGTCCCCAGCCCCAGCTTCTCTCCTGAATCCCAGACTTGGGGATCCTATGGCCTCCTATACACCTCCTCCTGGATATCACTCAGGCTCCTTTTACCCACTGGATCTCACACTGGCCTCAGTGTCTTTCTAAAGCTACCCTTCTTGGACTGGATGGTTAGCTAAGTTGGTTAGAGTGTGGTGCCATAACACCAAGATCAAGGGTTCGGATCCCTATACTGGCCAGCTGCGCAAATGAAACCAAACCAAAAAACTTATTCCTCTTTCTGGACCCCCCGACCCCCAAAGGCGGCCCCACTGTCCCCCCGTCTCTCCCTGGGCCTCGCCATGGACACCTCTCTCCCTCCCCCACCCCACCAATGCCATCACCTGTTTACTCAGCCTCCTGAGTGTCTCTACCACCTACCCCGTCCCTGTTCTGCCTACCCTGATAGTGTTTCCTGCTCCCTGGGCTCCCAGCCTCAGTCTCTCCTTCTGATCCATGCTCCACAAGGTGGCCAGGGGAATTTTCCTAAAAAAACCAAACCTGACCCTGATCTTCCTCTGTTTAGAATCCTCAGACTCCACAGTGCCCCAGAGTGGAGTCTGCAATCCTCAGTTTGGTGTTCACAGTGCTATCCCTTTCCCCCACCATCGTTTGTGGTCAGCCCCCCTTCGCTTTCCATCCATTATTTTTTGGAATTTGGGGAGCACCTCTATTAACTCACTCCTGGGTTCAAAACCCTCCCTTGGCTCCCCATTTCCCTCAGAGCAAAAGCCAAGGTCCTCACCTGTGCGTGACAAGATATGTCCCCCTCACCTACCACCTCTTTGCCTCCATCTCCTCACACTCTTCATTTCACTCACACTGCTCCAGCCATACTGGCCTCCCTGCTGTTCCTTGACCATGACAGACAAGGCTTCCACCTTGGGGCCTTTTCAAAGCTGTTTCCTTTGATGAACTGTTCCCTCCCATATCTTCATGGCTCTCTCCCTCCCACTCCTGATCTCACGTTCTCCCGTTTTGTTCTGTTTTGTTTTAATAACACTTATCCCATCTCACATCCTACATCATTTTACTATTCCGTGCCCCTCCCACTGCCCTTACCATTCCATCCTGGGTTACCACCAGCTGGGCCCCAACCCAGAATGACTTCCTTTCTTAGCTTCAGTTTCTCCATCTACCACACTTCCTACTTCCTAGGATTATTGGAATATAGTTATGTGAGGATTAAGAGTTCCCGTACTTCAGGGTCACAGCTCAATGACCACTTATGACCACTGCTGGAAATGGGGAAACTGAGGTGGAGACAAGAAAAGGGCCCTTCTCAGAGTTACCGGCTCGGGATCCTCATGTCTTACCGCAACACACTACCCGAGCCACCAACTTTCAATCTCAAAGCTACTGCGAATACAGACCGGGAAGGTATGAAGGTGGCTGCAAACGCTCGATGCCTGACATAGCAAGTCAGAAGGGCTGCAAGAGTCACGTAGTCCGCCTGTTCGCGATAATCCTGTCTGTCAGGACCTTCATACCCTGATCTGCCCAGTGCTCCCCTACAGGCCCCAGACCTCAGGGTCCTCACCTGATTTCTCCACTTTCACCTTCACGGGGAACATGGTTTGGGTCCAGGGTCTGGCTAGCTGGGTCAGAGGAGCCCCAAAGAGCCAAAGGTCACAAAGCAAGGCCGGAGGCGGACGGGGAGAGGTCAAAGGGGAGCTTGGTATGCGGCCGGTCTTCCACCCTGAGCACTGTCCAGACGCAACCGCCGCCACCGCTGCCACCTCCCTTCCTCGCCTTCTGTGGGAGGTCCCCTTCGGCAGTCTCTTATTTCTATTAGTCAGAGCAGCCGTCAATCTCGCACCCTGGCCAATTGGCGGCTGCCGCCATCGGGTCCCAGGCTTAAGTCCCTCCTTTCGAGAGGGGGTGTCCCCTTTTCCGGTAACAAACCAAAGATTACCCAAAGCTCTTTCTGGGAGTTGTAGTTCTAGCTCCGAGACTCAATCGGAGTAACAGCGCCTGAGCCGCGCGGGGCACGGTGGGACACAAACGATCGGGCATGGCGAGCCTTCTCGGGACTCGGAGTATTAGGTTTGAGTAACACGAGTTTAGCTATTTACAGGATTTAACTGACCGTGAGAGCCCCCTAGTCCGTAAGAGGAAGACTGGTATGGATTTAGGCTGGGTTCCCTCCTACTGAGCACTCGCTACATACCAGCTACTTATTAATTTCTTTTCAGGCACAACTTTATTTAGCAAATACGGTAGGACCACAGGACCAACTGTGGGACTTGAGCATCCCCGGATTTTGGTATCTGTGGGTGCAGGGGGAAGTGGTGGTCCTGGATAGAATCTTCCGCGGATACTGAGGGACAACTGTATTTATGTACTAGGCACTTAGGACACTGCAGTGAATAGAACAAACAAAAATCCTTGCCCTAACGGGGCTTATCTTTTAGAGGACGGAAGATAGACAATAAACAAATAAGTAAAACACTTTAAGTGAAATGTGATAGAAGAAAGAATGTAACCTGAAAGGGACATAGGGAGTATCAAGGTGGGGAATTAAATTTTAAATAGGATGGTCAAGGAAGGCTTCTTCTTCTTTTTTTTAAAAGATGACCGGTAAGGGGATCTTAACCCTTGACTTGGTGTTGTCAGCACCACGCTCTCCCAAGTGAGCCAACCGGCCATCCCCACGTAGGGATCCGAGCCGTGGCCCTGGTGCTATTAGCATCACACTCTCCCAAGTGAGCCATGGGCCGGCCCTCAAGGAAGGCTTCTCTGAGAAAGCTTTTGAATATTTTTATTTCTGCAGACAACACCTCCTTCACAGAACGGGAAACTTCGATTTACCACATAAGTCTTGGGCCAGATAAATCCTAGGAGGTAGGAACGTGATCTGCACTTCCGATGTTCTAGAAGACTGAGGTCCAGAGCAGGAAAGTCATGTTTTCTAACTCACAACTACCAGTACAGGATAGCAGCCTCTAGAAATAGAAGCAATATTCCTTTCTTAATTCCTCATCTGTAAAATAGGGTTCCTGAGCAGGACAGTTCCTATTTTAGAAGGTTATGAGTAGGATTCAGTGAAAACATTTATATAATGTATGAAGCACAAAGTCAGCACAAAGCACTAAGCCTGGCACAATGTAAGCATTCAATAAATGTTTTTGAATATTAATAATTATTTTATACTTCAGCCTCCAAAAGATCCCAGGAAATCAATATCGAAAGTTAAGGTCCTTTATTAGGGGATGTCAGCAGAGATCATGGGCGATCGGAACAAATCTTTGGGGCTTGAGACTGAGCTTAGAGCAGGGGAGCCCATCCTGGAAGAATGAACAAGTCCCTAGCCTATGGAGAAGTTGTCAGGGGGTGCCCAGGGGTATTGTGAAGGAGAGGTAGTCCCCAAGGGCGCCCCAGCGGGGCCGGTAGATCTGGAAGATGGTGATCCAGGTGGTGAGCACAATCACCCAGAAGAGGAAGCCCACAGCCGAGCGCCAGACATCTGTAATGGGGAACAGAAGTGGAGGTTGGCCTCCAGCTGCTCTATGGATTCCCCTACACCAGCTCTCTCTTCTCTCCTACAGAGCCCCAGAATTTTGGAGCCTCCATCATCCCCTCCCACCGAGGCTCCCGACTTCCCCCTCCCCTCACCCAATAGCCTCCCTTGACTTATGCCCTTGACTCACAGCCTTTGATCTGGCTCTGCTCTGTGTAGGCTGGGACAAGGAAGGCCTCTCGGAAGAACCAGAAGATGTTGACCAACCAGAGAAAAGGCAGGAAAGCAAACCCACCTCGGGAGAAAAAAAACCCACACTGGGTCATAAGGCAATGAGGATCTTCCCCAATTCCCACCTAGAAAACCAATTTGGAAGGTCCTCTCCCATATCCAAATTCACATGGAGATCTCTGCTATCAGGGGCTCAGGAATCCTGGCTCCTCCCTGGGATCCAGGAATCTGATTCCTTAATCCTTCTTTCTCAGGACGCAGGAATTCAGTCCCCCAACCCCACTCCTCTCTTGGTACCCAGAAGTTGAGGCCCCAGCTTTCTCCTTCCTTGGAATCCAGGCCCTCCTTCCCTCAAACCTGACTCGGCGTCCCCAGCTGCTTCGTCTCTTAGACCCACGTCCAGGCCCCTACACCCTCTAATCTCAGGCGCTCTAGTCCAGTCCCCCATCTTCTCCCGAGGTCCTAGAGAATCGGCCCTTACCCAAGTAGTACTTCCGGCACAGGTTCAACTTCTCCTCATTGGATACTCGCTCCAAGTTCATGGTTGTACTGGGGCGGGTCTTCCCAAAGGTCTGCGGGCAAGACCCACGCCTTGACCCTAAGTGACAGATGTAAAGATCACGAAGAACCACGCCCCTATTACGACAAATCAGATATAAACAGAAGGGTGTGTTTACTGAAAGAAGGGCACCCCCGCCCTCACCAACAAGCTGCCTGGGTTGAGAAGCTCTTTACGTTTATTAGGGTGTGCGAAATGACTCCCAACTCACCAGTGGAGCTTCCTCCTGCTTGGATGCCTTTGCTCCTTTGGTACTTTCAACTACGGATGTTTGCGTGAGATGCCGCGGATTTCTCTGGAGATTGTAGTCTTTTTTTGGTGAGGCTGCACGCATGCGCCTTCAGGGAGCTTCTGTCGGCGATTGGGTGAGGAGGGCGTGGGCCTCCAACACGCAAGCGCACTAGAGAGTTTCTGAGCGCGTGCTAAGCGTCCGGATACAGCGATGAACTACACTTCCCAACGTTCCTAAGCAACGGAAGTGGCGTAAGGAGAAGATAGAGTTGGAGAGTTCGGGTAAAAATGGCTGAATATTTAGCTTCGATATTCGGGACTGAGAAGGACAAGTGAGAACGGGCGCAAGGAGTGGCCACTCAGGGAGCCGGGGCCGGGGCACTTAGGTCCCTGGTGGCTGGGCGGCTTGGGGAGGTGTTTCTGGGGTGTCCGGCCTCCCCGGCCCTCGGTTCACCTCTGTCTTTGCACCTCTTCCAGGGTTAACTGCTCTTTTTACTTTAAGATCGGGGCCTGCCGGCACGGGGACCGGTGCTCCCGGCTTCACAACAAACCGACTTTCAGCCAGGTGAGACCCGGCACGAGCCCCGGGAGTAACGCCTCCCAGCCCTTCCCCTCCTGCTGTCCATCATCACGAGATCCCGCCTTTTCCGGGTTTCTAAGGCCCACCTTACTGCCCGGCTTTTTTTTTTTTTTTTTTTTTTTTTTTTTTAAATTCGCCCGTCGGACTTTTCGGCTGGTTCCTCTCCAGAAACTTGGCCACGCCCCCTATGTACAGACTACACCCTGGACTGTCCGTCATTGCTGAGTTCTCCTTCACCCCGTTTTCTGGTTTCTTAGGGGCAAGCATCGCTGATGCACTTAGGATGCCTAGGCTCCTTCTCTGGTGCAAGATCCCACCCCCAACCTTCACACCCCGCTGTCTGCATGCAGCCCTGTACTCTGAGCTCAGGCCCCGCCCCTTTTAAATTCTGTTCAGACCATAGTGCTGCTCAACCTGTACCGGAATCCACAGAACACGGCCCAAACCGCAGACGGATCACACTGTAAGTAAGGGACCAGGCTTGGCAAGGTAGACAGCCTCCAACAGGCCACGCCCTGATTCCACCTTGCCTCCCTTCTCCAGGTCACGTGAGCGACGTGGAGGTGCAGGAACACTATGATAACTTCTTTGAGGTGAGAGCTGGCAGGGGAAGGTTGGGTTTCTCGTGGGCCAGGAGCTCAGCTGGGTTCCTCCCCGTCTTCCGCAGGAGGTGTTCACAGAACTGCAGGAGAAGTATGGGGAGATTGAAGAGATGAATGTGTGCGACAACCTGGGGGACCACCTCGTGGGCAATGTCTATGTCAAGGTGCTTGCTGTCCCTCTTTAGAGCCCAGAGGTGGAGGCATTTCAGTGCCTAACGGCCACCACTGAAGCCTCATAGCTTGAGGTCTATCACTAATCCAGTCCAGCCCCAGAGCTGCTAACTAGTCCCCTGAAGATCTCCGAGTTCAAATGCTGAACCTATCTGACTTTGCTCTCAGTTCCGGCGGGAGGAGGATGCAGAGCGAGCAGTGGCTGAACTCAATAACCGCTGGTTCAATGGGCAGGCTGTGCATGCTGAGCTGTCTCCTGTCACTGACTTCCGGGAGTCATGCTGTCGGCAGTACGAGATGGGGTATGGTAGTGCAAAGGTGGGATGGATACTTGGAGTCTGACTCTTGAGTGTCTGGTGGGAGCCTGTCAATGACAATGACCTCCTTTATCCGTCTGTCCTTTATCCAGGGAATGTACCCGAGGTGGCTTCTGCAACTTCATGCACCTTCGACCCATTTCCCGGAACCTCCGGCGGCAGCTCTATGGACGGGGACCCAGGCGCAGGTACCTCAGGACCAGCCTGCTGAGACTCCTCATAACCTAAGGCCCCTATACCCTGAGATGAGCCTGATCCTAAGCTCCAGTAACAGTGTCCCAAGACTCTTGTACCCTAAGATTAGTCCTGAGCCCCATCTGGAGACAAGCACCAAAGCAACCTGAATGCCAAATCCAAGACCAGGCTGGATTTCCAACCCTGAGATCAGCCCCTGAGTATCCTGTGACCACTTCCTGGAAAGCTAATTACTTCAACACCTAACCTGCCCCACCCCAGAGCAGAGAGGCAGGCTAGGGGGATCTTTGTACCACTCTTCATGGCTCTAACCCAGTTCTTTCCACTTGTGTCCCCAGGTCACCCCCAAGGTCCCATATTGGCCATCGTCCCCGAGAAAGGAACCGACGGCATTCCCCAGACCACCGGCATGGCCGCTTCTGAGACTCTGGCCCCCTTGCCCTTCACCTCTGACAGGAACAGATGTTCTTGGCCAGGACCCTTCCTCAAAGCACCCTTCACTGTCCAGCTCCCTCTTCCCCAGGCTCTGGGACTCTATAATGTAATACGTTCAACATGGGGACCTCTTCCTACTGCCCCTCCCCTAATAAAGTGCTATATTGAGGGCTTAGAGCTTTGTTGTTAGCTTGAGCCAAGCTGTGGGCTGGAGTTTCCTTCCACCCTCACACATGACGAAAAGAGGAAGCTGGGGCAGGGCTGTGGCCACAACTTCAGCGGAGAAACTTCGAACAACAGGTGGGAGAGCAGGCTTGGGGCCCAGGGCCCTAATGGTTCTGGTGGGGTGGGGACACCTTTGTGCTAGAAACCTTAGTATCTCCATCTGAGGCTTCTTCAGGGGGAGATGCCTAGCTGTGGCAGGTTGGAGGATCCTAGAAGAAATTAGGGTAAGGAGCTCAGGTGAGGCAGTGGAGCAGGAGCCTACAGGGAGTGAGGGCTGAGTCCTTGTGCCTGCTGCCCTGAGATGGGAGTCAGTAATATCTAACACTTAAATTGAGTTTAGTACATGTCAGTCGCTGTTATAAGTGGTTTTGGGGGTTTTTTTTTGGCGACTGGCCAATACAGGGATGGAACCCTGAATAAGTGCTTTACTTCTAATAACAGTTATAATTCTCCACAATAACCCTATGAGACAAGTGCTATTAATATCATCCCACTTTAGGGATGGAAGGTGGAGGGTGGGTAGCTGAGGACATGGCAGAGATGGGGTATGGATCTACGCAATCTAGATCGAGTCTTTTTAGCTACCTTGAGGCCTTGTGGGTTTCTCTGATAACTGGCCAGAATCTAGGTAGGATGGGAGCTGGGGGATAGATTCCTGGCTTCCAAAGGGGCCCGGGAATCCTGTACCCCTACATCCATTGCTTCCTTCTGCCCTGGTTTCCCGGAAAGTGCATTCACATCACCCCAGGCTGCAGGCCGTGTCCTATGGTGCCCGGACGCCTCCTGACAGTTGTGCTGCTTCTGACCCGGGCGGAAGCCTCCCAGTACTGCGGCCGCCTTGAGTACTGGAACCCAGACAACAAGTGCTGCAGCAAATGCTCGCAGCGCTTCGGACCACCTCCCTGCCCGGGTGAGAAGCCAAGACTGGGTATATGCATAAATTCGAGCGGAGTTAAGAGGTGTTGGGAGCGGGGGAAAGGGCGAGATCTGTGAGGTACAGCAAGTGAAGCTGGCTTAGGGATAGGGGCGGTGGGCCTAAAGCAGGTAAAAGGGATGGCTGGCCGAGCCTGGGCGGGAGGGGATAGGGTGGGTTACGATAGGGCAACAACGGAGGGGTGTGGCCCGTTACGAGAGGCGGGATGGGGGCCGTGTGGAAAGGGTGGGCGGAGCTCGGTGCAGAGCAGGATGGAAATCAAAAGGGCGAGGCAGTATAGGGTAATAAAAAGAGCGGGGCCTGTGTGAGGGGAAAAGGGGTGGGGCGTACGCTGATAGGCTGAGTAAATTCGAGGGGGCGGAACCTGCTGGGATTGGGGAAAGGGCGTCGCAATCCCAGAGGGGTTGGGGTTCGGCGGCCACACTGGATCCCGTGTCTCTCACTAGACTACGAGTTCGTGGAAAACTGCGGGCTCAATGACTTCGGCGATCTCTTAACGTACCCGTTCAAAGAGTGTTCTCCTGGGCAGTGCAACCCCGACGGCGCGGAGCTATGTAGCCCCTGCGGCAGCGGAGCCACAGCCCTCACTCCCACCGAAGGCCGCGGCAGATCCCGGCGGCGCTGCAGAGAGGTGCTGGTCGGACTCCGGAGGGCCAAGGGCTTACTGGAGGTGGGGAGGGGGTGGGAAGGCGTGGTTTGGGATTGGACGGGCAGGATCTGGATTTAGGGAAGGGGTGTAGCCCCTTTGAAGATAGGGGTGGGGCCATACCAGTATCAGGAAGTGGCGTGCCTGAAGGGGGAGGGCCTGAAATGGAGGGTGGGTAGCGGTGGGGACTAGATCAGGCAAGGGATGCGGCCCCACTGAAAGCTATAAGGATGGGAGATTAGGCTGAGGGGGCAAGAGGGGCGTGGCATACCCGCTTTACTTCAACCCCCTATTCCCAGAGGCCGGTCCCTACCAAGAAATATTGCCCCCTGACATCTGGAAAACCGAGCGTCCCTAGCTCCCAGGAGCCCAGCTCACCAGCGAGTTCCAGTCTTTCGTGGACATCTGAGCACATCTCCCGCCAGGCCTTGCCGAGTTTTGCCTTGCCTGTGGTGCTGCTTCTGCTCCTGACCTTGGCAGTGATCCTCCTGCTCGCTCTGCGGAGGCACCTCTGCCTGCCCAGTAGGAAAGCCGTTTCCCTCCCCTATACAGGTTCGGTTTGCGGAGCGCCCAACACCCACTCCCTTTCTTTGCACTCATTATCCCCAGGTGCCCTGGAGGCATCAAAGACAGGGAACAGGTGGAAGGAGGTCTCTCTGCTTCCACTCCTGAGCAGGGGTGAGTAGGGGAGGCACCCAGGAGGGAGACAGACTAGCAGCTCGACTTTCCTCCCTTTACACTTCCCTCCATCTCCTAGAGAGTCTGGCATCACAGCCCCTGTCTCGCCTCCTGGATGAGCTGGAGGTGCTGGAGGAACTGATTGTGCTGCTGGACCCTGAGCCTGGGCCAGGTGGGAGCATGGCCTGTGGTACCACTCGACATCTGGCTGCAAGATATGGGTTGCCTGCTGCTTGGTCCACCTTTGCCTACTCACTGCGGCCAAGTCGTTCACCGCTGCGGGCTCTGATAGAGATGGTGGTGGCAAGGGAGCCCTCTGCCTCTCTGGGCCAGCTTGGTGCACACCTGGCCCAGCTAGGGCGGGCAGATGCACTGCAGGTGCTGTCCAAACTTGGCAGATCTGGGGTTTGCCAGGCCAACTAAATAAAGTTTCCCTTGAAATAAATGCTTACTGTCTCTGGTCCTTTAAGGGGACTTCTTGAGGTAAATCCTAATTAGGCCAAGACCCAACAGACATTCTCATCCCTTTCCCCCCAGAAGGGCTCATTCCAACATACACACATGTCCACGAGTGGGAGAGCTGTCCCTATATGCCTCTGAGCAACCACAGTCCCCTCTGAGAAACAGCCCTGCTAACCCTGTGATAGCTCATCCAGACACTCAACTATGTCCTAAGTTGGGAAATGTGGAACATTTGTTACTCTGAAGACCCCACAATTTATTCCTAAGTTCTGAATGATAGCCTCTCACATATCTGATGGGGCCGATGGACTTCTTTAGCGCAGGATGGGTGTGGGGTGTGAAGAAGTGGGAGTTCCTACCTGTTCCCTGCACCATATAAATGGGAAGACCACCTCTCCAAACATTGACAGACTTTATTGTGGGAGGTTCCCACCTGGGACCCCACCCTCTTAAATAAAAAAAGTGCATAGAAAAGAAGGGATTTAGAAACTTTTGTACAATATCTACATCCTGGGCCCCCAGGACAGAAAGGGGGCAATTGCTGGGTGGGCTGGAGGGGTGGAGGCAGGGCCCTTGCCACCTGCATGCCCACATCCACCCTGAACATGAGGATGGGAGTGAGATGCTCTAGGAGAGACTAGGGAGCCCCCAGGGTAGGGGCAAGATGGCAGCGGGAGGCAGGGGCAGTGTGAGGGATCATGGCGGGCAGCCACAGATTCAGTTAAGGAACCGACGGCAGCGCTTGGCGCCACAGTTACAGGGCAGCTTGTTGCTGGCATCTTCAATAGGGAACTTGTAGTCATAGGTGAGCTCCTCACCACGCAGGATGCGGCGTAGGGCGAAGATAACAATGTGTTTCTGGCCCTCCACATGGATGACACGGGAGAAGCAGTTGGGCTCACATGAGTGATTGATGAAGCGGGCAGCATTGCCATGCATTGTGGCATCCACCACGTCAAAGTCATCCATGCGGAACATGTAGCACCCGATGCCCTACAGTGATGGAGTGAGGAAAATCAGGTGCTCTGTCCCCATGGGCTGTTCCTACTTCACCCACCTCATTCCCATGGCCTTGCAGAGCCCACCTTCCCATCGTAGAACTTCTCCCGCTTGTCAGTCAGCACAGAGCGAATGACAATACCAGAGTACTCAATGACCATCTCCCCAGCATCGATGTTGCGTTTACAGAACAGGCCTCGCCCATGGATGGCCGATCTGCAGGGTAGGATGGACAGGGGGAACTCAGGGGATAGGGGGACAGAAACCAGGAGGCCCCCAACAGGGCACCTGTCCGTCCACCTGAGGGGCATCCCTCCACCCCCCAACCCCACTAACCTGTAGACACCTACAGCCTCTTTGGATGTCTTCTTGAGGTGGCGAAAGCGCATGGCCATGGGCAGCTCCAAGCTGGTGGCACGTCTGGTGGGAGACAGTGGTGTCACACAGGCTGGTACCCAGGAATGACCTCTCTCACCCCTGGTCACCCTCTTTAGGACCACTCCAGACCACCCAGAGTACCCCAGTTTGCCTTCTATACCTGGTTGACCTGAGCTGCACCTCATCCTCTTCCTCATCACAGGTGGCCCCCTCAGGGAGCACCCGGTGCTGGGAGGCCAGAAAGTTGAACATGTCAAAGGTGCACTTCCTGTAGATGGGAGGGAGGAAAGAAGGGAGGTTCACAGTCATTCTTTCAAGGAGATACTGCCTACCTGTTTTTTGGTCTGGGTTTGCTGCTGGCAGGGTAGGAAGAATATGCTACTGAAGATACAGCAAAAGGGAAAATGAGGAGTTCATCCTTCTGATGTGAACTCTAGAGATAACTCTTGGAGTGGCCTAGTGTCTCCTCTCTAGGCCTCAGCTTCCAGTCTGTACAGACTTAATTCCTACCCTGGAGATCTCCCACAGGGCTCCCTGACCAAGGCATCACACCCCAGACCTCTCACCGGAGATAGACCTCAGCACGGGCAGCCCCATGGGGATTCAGGGGTGGTTCCTCCTGGCCCTCTCCCTGCTGGTGGTAGCGGAACTTATAGTGCTGGCAGCGCTGGGCCCCAGGTAGCTGTTCTGCCAGAAAGATGACAGCATCGTGGTGAATGCCCAGGAGCCTTGCCCCACTCATTCCTGAAGAGAGAAGGTAAGGATACACCAGTCATGTGGAGGGCCCATCTTGCCCTTGGGGAGTCTTCCCAGCCCCCAGCATTCCTGTGGACCCACCACTTACCACTAAAGGAGAGATGTCTGAGCCGGGCATGCCCTCGGGCCTCTTGCACCTTCTCAATCAGAGTTCTCCATGCCCCTGGAGAGAGGGTAGGGCCAGAGCAGAGTCAGGGTGGTGTTTTATGGGACACTCTCCCTCCCTGCCACTGCTACTTCCAACTCACCCTCCAAGCTTTCTGCCTCCACGCTGAACCCATCCTCACTGCTGATCTCAAAGCGCAGATGCGGGCCAGCCCGTTTTGGGGCCTGGTTCTCTTTGTCCTCTGGGGATGGAGGCTCTTCCTCAGAGCTTGAAGCCTCACCTGGTCCCAAGGAGCAGGTCAGAGTAGGTGGGAATCACTATTCCTGGAGTCAAAAGTCCCCAGATCCCCAACACCCTCCCAGCAGATACTTCTCCCTTCACCCAGGCACAAGCACAGATACTGGGGTCTAATGGCCTTCTTCCTGCTCCAATTGCACAGTGAGCCCTGCAGAATAGACATTATTTTTCCTCAGGGGCCTGAAACTCCTTTCCTGTAGAACTTTTTGGCCAGAATAACAGTTCCACGGAGGCTTGGAGTGATTTAGCTGTGCAGGACACACCTATTGCTCACTCAAACCCAGTTTACCCTAAATGCCCATCTACCATTCATCACTGTTTCTCACACAAAATTAAAAATACTGAAGAATTATGTTTTGCACATGTATTTTTTTATATGCAACAAATTTATGTAAATATTACCAATATATTAGCATACAGGCACAGAACCAAGTACACTGTACATTATGAGCTATTTAAGGGATTTTTCAGGGGTTAATAGATTTTAAAGACAGAGCAGACAGAACTTGATGTGGTAAATGTGAACGTGAGAGAGGGGGTGGGTCAAGGACATCTCTGAGGTTTGGGGCCTGAACTACAACCGAAAGGATAAAACCGCCACTGACTGAGATGGTGAAAATAAGGGAGAAATGAGTTTGGGGTGAATGTCAAGGGCTCAATTTTGGACATGCTGACTTTGAGATGCCTCTTAGAAAATCTCCCCCTGTAACCTGCTGGTGGAGACGGAGAGCAGGCAGTAAGATGTAAGAACCTGGAGTTCAGGGACCATGTCGAGGCTGGAGAATGCAATTTGGAGACTATCACAATACATATGGGATTTAGAGCCATGAAGCTAGACAAGAGCATCTGAAAGGGAGCATAGATAGAGAAGTCAAAGCCAGGGCCCTGGGACACAACAGAATTGACAGGTTGGGACAATGAGAAGGCATGACCAGAGAGGCGAGAGGAGAATGTGGGGTCCTGGAAGAGGGGAAAGGAAAGTGCTTCAAGAAGGGAGGGACTGGCTGAACCAAATGCTGCTGGCACAAGCAAGATGTGCACTGAGGACCAATCACTGTAATTGGGGGTGTGTGGGGTACACTCAAAAATCTGAGTGGAACATGCTTTAGGAGAGGGAGGATACTCTCTTCCCACTTCACTTCTGTGGGCCAACCTACCCACACACTGTTCCCAACCCTAAGTGAGACAGACGCTAAACCAGATTCTTGCTGTGTGACTCACATCATCTTCAGGCCTCAGTGCCCTAGGGCCCACCCTTAACAACTTCTTCAACCTCTTTTCTTACCCTTTTCCCCATCCTCACCTCCATTCTGTTCCTTGAACACAACAGGAGGGACTACGGGGGCCTTGCCCAGGCAGTCTCTCAATGCTTGCTTTCTCACAATGCTCATTCTAACCTGCAGTGTACTTGCTAATGTATGCGTCTTTTTTCTCCTACCAAAATGTGGTATGGTTCCTAAGGGCAGGGACCTGTCTGTTGTGGTCATGCCATATCCTCATGCCATCTCTGACCCCATAAGCAGCCTGTTAGTTAAGCAATCTCAGTCCACCTAGACCACTTCCATGCTTAGCAGCTAAGCTCTAACGTTTTATAATGAGAAAATCCAAACATTTGGACAGGATTGGACCACAACAAATTGTGAGCCTCAGGCTGCTCAACTACCAGCTTACTTGGCCACAGCTCACTCACTCTCCCACTGCCCTCAGTGACCAACAGAGAACTTCACTTCCAGTTTCACTGAATCCATTGGCCAAAATTACTCCAAGTGCCCCAACCTCGTGTACCAATGTCTCTGCCTATACACTTACCTCACCTCTTTTCCTCCACCTCAGGGGACACTTGTTCAAAACGGGCCACCAAGCCTCCGTCTACCTCCTTTTCCATCCACGACCAACCTTCCCGTCATCTTTGGCTTTGTTGTCTCAGCCCTCACACACCAAACACCTCTAAACTGCTGCCCTACCTCCTCCTCCTGATCCTTAGCTCAACTTTCTTTTTTCCTTTTTTTTTTTTTTTTGTCGTGACTGGTAACGGGATCGCAACCCTCGGTGTCGCGCCCGCACCGCGCTCAACCAGTGAGCGGACTGGTCACTATATGGGATCCGAACCCTTGGCAGTAGCGCCGCCGCACTCCCAAGCGCCGCACTCGATTTTTTTTTTTTTTTGTCGTGACTGGTAACGGGATCGCAACCCTCGGTGTCGCGCCCGCACCGCGCTCAATCAGTGAGCGGACTGGTCACTATATGGGATCCGAACCCTTGGCAGTAGCACCGCCACACTCCCAAGCGCCGCACTCTACCGAGTGTGCCACCGGGCTGGCCCCTTAGCTCAACTTTCTGACGGGATGCCTGGAAGTCATTTTGACTTCCTCATCAACTGGCCTTCAATTCTGGACACAATATCCTCCCATCCTGTACCACTGCTCACTCCAATCCTAGACTCCATA